CCCACTCCCCCGTCGCGCGCCGCCGGGGGCTCCCGCTAGGAAGTGCTGGGCCCTTTAGTAGACGGGCGCGCGCAGGGCTCGCGCCTTTTGCCGGACGGCCCAAGTCGGATTGGGAAGGAGGGCGCGCAAACCGGCTGTAGAGGATCGGATCAGAGAGCAGGAAAAGGTCGGGTGTCCATTTGGACCGCCCCGCTTGCGGCCTTTGTTGGGGGTGGGAACCAGAACCCGCACTGAAATCCACTACTAGAGCATGGAGACGGGCTGTCGCTGCCTTACCTGGAAATTATCCCATTGGATAATTGCAAACTATAATGGTAAGTTCTTATGTAAGGATACGATCCTGAACCATCTTTTACTCGGGGGTAGGCCGTCTAAGACAAACAGCCTGAGACTTATTTCTGAGTAAACAGGCCTCGTGGGACGATCCCCAAACGAATTTGATTCAGAAGTCAGTCCTGCTGCGATTAACGGGACTTACTCCGAAGTAAGTAGTTTAAAGCAAATCCGTTTGGGGTAGCGCCAGATCGACCAAGAGCAGCACAACCTTGTAGATATTTACTCGGAAGTGAGCCTCACTGGCTTTAGCGGGGCTTGCTTCTAAATTCGTGTCTGTCCCTCATTTGTTTCCAACATGCGCACGCAGAGTTAATTCGGATTCTCCCGGCTATTGGCGATGGGGGTCCATCCACATTCTAGACAGATGGGCTGCTTCAGATCTCTCCTCCTCTAGGGTGGGAAGACTGATCGGGGTCCACCCCTCGCCCCCGGATCTCACGAGCAAACGTCAAGTCCTAACCTGGATTCTCGGGTGGCGGCGGCTTCCGGCCCGACCCCCTTCGGATTGGGGATGGGGCTCCTGCTGGGCTCGGATTCCAGGCAGGGCGGGCAGAGCAGCTCCTGCAGCACGGAAAAATCCGGGGGTTGCCCGTCCACGAAAAGCTCCCCTTCCATCCTGACCGATCTCAAGGAACGAGGGCGGCGGCGGCGGCGGCGATCAGGGCCGGCAGATATCCCTTGCAGTTGCAGGGGGGTGGGGGGAGGTCCGAAGGCAGCTTGCCCAGTGGGCGAGCGAGGGCCCTTAATGGGACACACCTGGGCCCCCAGGACCGTTAGCCTTAAAGGGAGGAGTCAGCGCAACCCCTCGGCCTTTGGTGCTGGAAGAAGGCTGGGCCGCAACTCGGAGGAAAAACGGAGCTGGCCAGCCAGAGGGTCTCTCCTGTGCGGGAGTCAACGGTGCTGGAAATATCGGAGTTTGGGGGATGAAGGGTTAAAGGCTGGTGGAAGCCCTCGGGTGATTCGCCCTTTGCGGAGAAGAAGGCACCCCGGGTCTTCTAAGGGAGTTCTGTGAACTCCTGGGCCTGGTTTTGTGGACTGGGAGGTGAGGCCTCCCGAGGTTCTTCCATGTTTTGGACCCGGGCAGAGAAGGCCTCCAGAAGAGCAGGTAGGTGAGCGGAAGGCGGTCCGCTCTCTGGGGTTGGCACTTCCATGTTTCAGAGCCCACTTACTCCTTTGGGCTATGGTACTGTGGCTGTGCTGGCTGGAGGATTCTGGGAGTTGTAGTCCAAAAAACAGCCTACTTTAAGGGTCACTGTACTTCTATAAAGTGGATACAAGGAACTGGTGGGAGAAAGGGAAGAAAAAGCATTATTTCCATAAAGAACAAGGAAAAGGCCACATAGTCACCATATATATATATGGTAACTATGTGGCCTTTTCCTTGTTCTTTATGGAAATGATGCTTTTCCCTTTCTTCCACCAGGTTCTTGTATCCACTTTATATATACGTACAGTATGGTGGCTATGTGGCCTTAATTTGTATATATAACAAATTGCAAGCTTTGCTGGAGAAAATTCCACTTTTTTGGGCTTCACACAACCCATAGTGCAAAAAAATGGCAGATAAAGAGTCCAAAGAATGATGGCAAGTGTCTGTGAGGGTTGATGTCAGTTCTCTGAGGATGCTGTCTCAAGCATGGGGCATTTGTCTAGTTGTTACTCACAAGACTAGATGGAGGAAGGTCTGACTCAGCAAAGCTGTGTTTTAAAACTTGGTATCTGAACTATTCTAGTCACTAAAACTTGTGGGGTTTTTTTCCTATGCTCAATCCCATTTAACTCAATGATTGTGATTACTTACATTTAACCACGCAGCCAGTACATGTTGTGCTTACCTTTAAAAAGAGGGGCTAGAATATACGCCTGTTTGTAAGTGATACTCTGGTTATGTGGGGATTGACATTTTCTCCATGCGGGGTTGGAAGGGCACTTTGTATCTGCCTTGAGGAACTCCTGGGTATTTCGTACATGGCAGTTTTTCTTCTGAGTCAAGTGGGGCCTGATATGTAGATATAGGTAAGACTTATCACTTAAAGGAATCTATTACGTTCTTAAAACGCAAGAACCTGAGATCTACCATCCAGAGCTGGGTGAAAAATGATGAGCGAAAGAGTTCAGAAAAGTTACCTCTTTGGTTTGCAGCTCTCAAAATCTCTGTACTAACATAGCTGCTGTTCATGCTGGCTGGGGGATTATGGGATCAATAGTCCCCCAAAGTAAGGAATATTAAATCTGATAACCATCAATATTTATTTTTCACCATGAGGTTGATAGCTTTATTAAGTTGATTTCCAAGAGGATAGATGTATTAGTCTGTTGTAGCAATAACTCTTCTGGAACTTTAAAAACTACAGTATAGTGTTTTGCTGGCATAAATGTTTTCGGGGATGGGGAGCTAGTTTTGAAAATCTCCATAGTTCTTCACCAGGAAGCAAAACAAAAAAGAAGGAGAACTGGGAATTGGAGCAAAAATATGCTTAATAATAGTTACAGAGTCAGCATCTGTTACAGTCTTAAGGACAAAATTGGGCATTTCTGGTTAACGAACAGCTTTAGAATTGCTAAGGCTTGCTTGGAAGAAACAAAACGGTTGATCCCCATTTTCAAAAACTACATAATCCCATTATTGCTCAAATGTTTTCCACCTTTACAAGCTGCTCAGAGGCTCCTTAATCGTAGAGGAAAAAGTAGTGACTCTGTATTAACAAAGCTGGCCATATTAATCCATTCCCCACATTTTCTCCAAGGGGTTGAGAGTTAGACTTCTGCTCAGGTTTATCCTTACATCACTCTCATGAGTTAAGTGACTGTGCCAAGGTCACCAACTGTGCAGTTTTAGAGATGATTCAAAACATTTAATAAAATTGGATAGAGTGACTCGATCCAGGTAGCACCCCAAAGAGCAGCAGAAACAGCTGAAAACAGTAATTGCTCTAGGACAGCTGCCACAAAGGATTTTGGAATTACTGGCTCTAGGTGATAGAGGTAGGTCGCCATTTAGGCTCTCCTTCAGGTAGCTAAAAACCTTGGGGCCTGCACTGCTCAGAATGGGATTGTTACGTTCTATCGAGTGACTTATAATTTATGGTTACACTATGGATCAGAGTGTAAGGCTTGATTGTTCCTTAAGAAACAGTATATGAGTATAGTCTGCTAAGCTGCCAATGTCTCTGCATCCCTTCTTTCTCTGAAACCTTGCCAGAACTGCTGTGATATCATGGAAACTTTACCTGCTGAGATGAAAGAGAAAATACAGGTGCTCAAAATCTGCCCAGCTGCTGTATGGGAAATGGAAAGTTGATTTAGCAGATATGCCTGCAAAGCCTCTGGACTGTAAGAGCTAGAGCAAGGGTGGGGAATCTGTGGTTCCTCAGATAATTAAGATTCTATCTCCCATTAGCCTTCATCAGCATGGTCAGGCATGATGGGAGGGAGCTGTAACATCTGGAGGGCCACAGGTTCCTCGTCAGGCCTTTCCTTGATAGTAATAAAGACTCCTGGTCAGTACTAAGTTGTAAACTCCCTCTCTGAAGACTCATTTCCAGGCACCATACCAATTATGAAGGCAAAATAGCAGCAGTAGCCCGATTTTCACATCTTTGCTGATACAAAAGGGATAGGATAAGGGGCATTTCTTCCTTCTGTTTATTAAGTGATATGAACTACAACAGAGTAATTTTCAATACTCCACAGTGAAATGGCAGATGAGACAAAAAGGCCCCAGTGTAGAATAATGCACATTTCCAACAAGCGAAGTCACAAAGGTGGAACTGGAAAGAATGAATCCCTAGTGCTTGTGAGAATAACTCACATGTTCTCATCTTTCTCTACATGTGGCCAAAATGTATTGTGTATATGGCCTTACATTCCTCTAGGAAAAGACTGCAGCTATTGCGAAGGGACCACTCAGCTTCTTGTGAAACATTTTCCAAGTGAAGTGGTTGTAGAGTGGACAGCCACTGGATAAGTAGGAAGGAGTCTTTCTCTCTTTCTCCTCTTTGCATCACAAATAAAGGCCAATGTAGAGACTTGTAACAGAAAGAGGGACAGACACTTGCAGGAGTGGTCCTCTTTGGCTTGAATAGAAATTCCTTCCTCTTTTTGCTCAGGAATCAAATCCTTCCCCCTTTTCTCTTGGAAGCGGGCTTCAGCTGCTTTGCTCTGTGAAACCTGCTTCACAGACTCTGATCAGCCTCACTCCAGAGACTGATTCACCTTCGGCCTCTGCTGCCCTCAATGGGGTTTGGGGACATGTCCGTCCACATAAAAGTTCCTGGTGATCTTTGGGAGGGTGAACTCTGCTCCTTCCAGTTCTTTGCTGAGGATGATCTGGCATCCCAGGCGTGAGTTCTCCTGAAGCAGGGGCGCCATGTCCAACATATCATCCTCCCTAGAAAAGACACAAGACAAGCCAGGCATTATTTATTATACCAATTTATATGCTGACTGTCTGCTTAGAGAACTTTAGGCAAAATGGCTGCAAACTTAGACCCAATTCAACCTGTTGTTTTAATATTTAAATCACTTTAAATATTATAAAAGATGCCTCATGATTTATTTATTTATTTAACTTGTATGCCGTCCCCTCTACCTAAGGGTCTCTGGGCGGCTTACAACAATTAAAATACAATAAAAGATAAAAAGATTAAAATAGATACTCTAAAAATTGCCATCAGGACCCACAGTTGATATTATTTCAATTAAAATCCTTCTGGAACATGAAGGTTTTGACCTGGCGCCGAAATGTCATCAGCGTCGGCGCCAGACGAATTTCAGTCGGGAGGGCATTCCATAGTCTGGGGGCAGCTGCCAAAAAGGCCCTTTGTCTACAAGCCATCCCTCTTACCTCCTTGAGGGACGGCTCTTTCAAAAGGGCCCCCTGGCTAGATCTTAACTGCCGGGTAGGCTCATATGGAAGGAGGCGGTACTTCAGGTATTCAGGGCCCATGCCCTGCCAAAGGTCACCAAGAAAAGCCCTCTCAAAGAGCAGGGTTATAGCTTGGGGCTATTTCTGGATCGCGCTCTGTTATTGGAGACCAACTAGATTTGATGTCAGGGGTCAGCTTGGGTTAGCCTATTAGCTCTAACCATTCCTGGAAAAGGACAATTGAGCTACAGTTGCTCATGTCTAGAGATATCTAATTTGTGACTTCTTTAGATTCTCAAATCCCAGAATTCTTCATTCTGGGAGTTCTGCCTGCTAGACCTCATCTAGGTTCTGAGGGTGGGCGCCCTTGGGGTTGGTGGCCTGGGTGGCTCTCTCACATTTGGGGGGGGGGGTGACCCTGGCTGCTAAGAATGGGGTTTGCAGCCTGGGGGTACACCTGGGCTCCACGCTCACCATGGAAACCCAAGTGGCGTCGGTAGTTTGCACCACCTTTTTCCATCTTTGGCGAATTGCCCGGCTGCAACCCTACCTTGACATGGGGGTGCTCACTACCTTGGTACATGCGCTCGTAATCTCAAGATTAGACCACTGTAACGCGCTCTACGTGGGGCTGCCTTTGAGGCTGATGCGGAAACTTCAGGTGGTGCAGAATGCAGCGGCCAGACTCCTTACTGGAGTGAGAAAACACCAACATATTTCTCCTGTTCTGGCCAAACTGCACTGGCTGCCCATCCGTTTCCACATTGACTTCAAAGTTCTAATGCTTACCTATAAGGCCCTAAACGGTTTAGGATCTTGATATTTGGCGGAGCGCCTGCTCCCACCAAGATCTACTTGGATCACCCGCATGAGTCAGGAGGTGAGGCTGAGGAGCCTGACGCCGAGGGAGGTCCAGAGGGAAAAGACACGAAGCCGGGCCTTCTCGGCAGTGGCTCCTCGCCTTTGGAACAACCTTCCTCCGGAAATTCGCGAGGCCCCAATGCTGGGTACTTTCAAATGCCAACTGAAAACATGGATGTACATCCAGGCCTTCCCTCCTGTCAACTACTGATTTCTTTGCTTTGCTATTTATTATTTATTTATTCCTGCACTATTTGTTATTGCTGTATGCTTATGTTTTTACGTTTTTTAATTGTTTTTGATATTCTGTAAGCCACCCAGAGTGGTAGACTATACCAGATGGGTGGGATATAAAACAAACAAACAAACAAATAAATACAATGTGCTCACCTGGGGAAAGGCTTCAGACTGGAAGGCTTCACAGCCTAGAATAGGCTGAGCTCTGGCACAACCTGCTGTTGGAAGTTAAACTCTTTTAGTTTAACAACTATGAGCAAGCTCGCAAATGCCTTCTCTAACAGAAAAACAGTCTTGGATTCAGCCTCTCCTAAGTCATGAAGCCTTCCAGTCTGAAGCCTTTCTCCAGGTGAGCACATTGTAGATGTGGGTCTAGCAGGAAGAACTCCCAGAGAGAAGTCTGGGATTTGGGGTCCAGGGAAAAAAAAGAATGAATGGTACATCCCTTATAATTATTATAGTTTAGGTTCAGTTTAGATTGCTGCAGTGCTATTGATATGGGGCTACCTCTGGACAATATGAACACTGGAGAAAATATAATATGCATCACCTAGAGTGCTACCTGGCATACCTTTCAGAATCTATGTGACACCAGTTCAGGAAAAAAAATGCACTGGATGTCAATAGGCTTCTAAGTCAAAGATGTTGACAATGACTTTCAACCCCCTAAATGGCTTGGGAGCTAGCACTCCTCCCATTTATACCTACCCAATCATTAGATTTTGCTAGAGGGGGGCTCCTCTATGTCCCAACACTGAATGAAACATGATATACTGTAGGTTCCCTGGTCCAACTGGTGGCAACACTGTCTTTATTTTGGCATGAAGTTAAAACTTGACTGTACGCCTGAGCATCTGGTACTTGTGGAAATCATGGCTTGGTCTATAACTCTCCAGTTTGTTATTCTTGTCTTAACTGTTTTGATTATCAGATTCATTTGACTGTTTAATTAAAGTATTTAAGTTGGAATAGATCCTTCTAATGTAAATTTATTGATTATACCATGTCCTGATATTTGTTTGCATAGAGTGGGCTGGAAATATTTCAGTACATAAATACATAACCTGAGAGAACTACTGCCAGTGAAAGCCAGCTTGATGGGCACACAAGAAAGGGCTTTCTCCTATGCTCTCCACAGACTTTAGAACAAATCATAGAACAAATTTTCTCCAAAGCTGCAGTCAATTCCTACTCTCACTAGTTTTAGGAAGGATGTGAGGACATCCCTTAAAATTGGCTTTTGAAACGTTTTGATGTCCATTGATTGTGATTCTAATGGTTTTCTTGTTTATTTTAGGCATGTCTGTTAGCTGCCTTGAGTTCTAATTTTTTTCTTAGTAGAAAAGCAGAATATAAATGCAACACATAAAATAAATAAACAGTAACATCAGTAGAAAACTCTAATTCTAAGATGAAACGGAGAAGAAACACCAAATAGTGGGCACATTAAAATACCAAGACCAAAATGTATAGTCAGTTGAACATTCTAAAAACCTGCAGCTGTCTGCAAAACGTATTTGTGGACAGCTAAAGAATATCAGAGATGAGTTGAACAGACCTCCCTCCAGAGGAAGTTTCAAAGCTTGGGCACAGTTCTAAGAAGGGCTTCTTGTGCCTGCCCAAAATTGCATCTTGAATAGTGACTGGATCATTATGCATCTATTCTTATTAATCAACTAAACACTAGTTGTAATGCTATGCACTTTCTCTTCTGAAAACATTCAAAGGAATCCAGTGATGTCTTTCACTAATCTACAAGGACATCATTGGATTGCATCTTGAATAGTGACTGGATCATTACACATCTGTTCTTATTAATCAGCTAAACACTAGTTGTAATGCTATGGACTTTCTCTTCTGAAAACGTTCAAAGGAATTCAAGTGATGTCTTTCACTAATCTACAATGACATCATTGACAATGCCCCCTACAACACTTGCACGTGTGTGCCTTGGAGTGTGCCCATCCAACTGGCACCCTCATCCCCAACTTCCCTGGCTGTGCTTACTGGAGGTAGAGGCAGGAATGTTGCTTGTACCTCTGGTCTCTTCCCTACCACTGGATGGTGGAAGAGATGGAGGGGGAAGGTTGTCCTAGTGACTTATCACAGTGGTCACCCACCAACACAAGAAAGATGGAGGGGGAAGGTTGTCCTAGTGACTCATCACAGTGTCATCACAACCCACCCACCAACACAAGAGGAAAAGAAAGCAACTGTACAGTGGCTTCCAGCCTCTCTATTTGCCTGAGTTTTGCCACAAGCAAAGTTGCTGGGGGGGCACAGAATTCAAGGGAAGATTTTGCAGTTGCAATAGCTTTCTGCAATAGCAGATGCATGGAAGTGCAGAAGTGAAAAATTCCCATCCCCAGTTCTTGGGTCCTGTCCATTGGCTACACTTGCAAAATTCAGAAGTGATATATAATTGCAAACAGCAAAAAGGTGGGAAATCCAAGTGATTTCAGTGAAACTAAAAAGTTATGCGGGTGGCAGTGAAAGCGAAACTAGCAAGAACACATTAAATTAATCATATAGAAGGTGAGCTAATATATGGTGATCATAAAGCAGCTTAAGAGAAACATGTGACACGTACTGTACCTGGGAGCGATTGACAAAAGCAGCTTAAGAGAAACATGTGACACGTATCTGGGAGCGAATGACAGAAAAATGAAAAATTTGTATAGCAACCCGTTACTGGAAGAACGACTTTTCTGAACCACAAATTCCAGAATTCTCAGTTGCAGTCCAGAAAAGTATCCCCCCCCCCGCAAAGATGTGGTTGCAGGGCCAGAGCTAACTGGAGTGTCATTGAGAGGTAAGGGTTGGAGAGAAACAAAACCATCCTAGGCAGCATCACTATGATCTCCCATGGCAAGAGGAGGGATACATGCAACACCACCATCTCCCCGAGACTGGCTGCCATTAACTCTAGTGGTGGCTATTTACCCAGTGGCTCAGGGCAACAGGGGCATGAGGAACCACTCCGGAGTTGCTCTAGGCTCCTCTCCAGTACAAAAAGGAAGGATGCCTAGGAGACCTCTGCCTTTTACCCTTCAGAGTAAGCCCACTGTTTCTTAAGCAAGAAATGGGTCCCTGAAGACTCTGGCCCAGGGAGGTCCACTGAGGCTTTAAGAAGACAGTCAAAGGTGGGCCCTACCGTTCATCAGGAGTGGGAAGCTTATCCAGAAAGTCATGGCTGACGTAGACGTGACAAGTAGAGCAGGCCAGGGAAGCTTCACAGGCACCTAGGAAGACAAAAAAAGGGAGAGAGAGTTGCCTCTATGTGCTTTTGCCATCACTCTGCCTTTTGAAAAGTACATAGACTTGAGATATTTTTCACCCATGAACTTAGAAAGATGGGACTTAACAGAGAATTTTATATAATGTTATGAATTGTGATAAATGTTTATCCTTCTCTTATACCAGTGGAACAGAGTGTCACTTGATACGGCTGACTCACAGAAGGATACTTCCGCAGCCCACTGTGACTAGCTGCAGAAACGTATGTCAGATTTGACCTGCTGCCCTTAAATTTGCCTAACACAGAACAAGCCGTGAAGCAAAAAAAAATAAATAAAAAAATTGGTGACTGGATCATTACACATCTATTCTTATTAATCAGCTAAACACTAGTTGTAATGCTATGGACTTTCTCTTCTGAAAACGTTCAAAGGAATTCAAGTGATGTCTTTCACTAATCTACAATGACATCATTGACAATGCCCCCGCCTTGGCTCACACTCGCGCCGGCCCTCGCAGCCGTGGAGGCCGCCATGACAGGCTCCACGTGACTGGTGGGTGGGATGAAAGGGGAGCAGCCGTTTCCAAAGCGACAAGAACTGTGGGAGGGGACGGGGAAGGAAGGAGAGAGAAGGTCTGCTGGGCGTCTACCCACTGACTCATGCATAAACTTATTTTTTCTTGCCTTTTAAAATACGCCTTTATGGTCAGAGACAGTTTGTCTCAAGGTACTGCTTGCTGGAGGACTACTGCCTTCAAGCTCTGCCTGTAGACTTTGTGTAAGGAATCTGGCTGATCACCACCAGAAACAGAATGCTGGACTAGATCGTTCTTGACTTGTTCTAGGATGTTCTTCTAACATACCTTCTAAGTCAATGCCATGTCTCTGGGCCAAGTGCAACACGTCGTCCCCAACTCTGCCTTGCACTGGGATCCTTTTTCCAGAACGATCTATGAAAACCACATTCACTCTGAGACAGAAGGGGGAGAAACACTGGAATAACCTCAAGATACAGTCTGGTCATAATGGTCAAATGCTGAATACCTACAAGCACAATGGACTGAATGCCTTCTCAAGTCCTACATGAAGGCACAGTTTGCCAATTGCCATCTAAAACAGCCTGGCACAGATTTTTGAATTCCACATTTCATTTTCACTTTAGCCTTAGAGTAAGGTAGTACTTGGATGGTTAGACCAAGACTTTGGATATCAAGATTCCAAGCCACCGCCACCCCCACCCCCGACTGAAACAAGAAGGTGAGCTGGCTCCAGGTGCTCCTCTGCCTGTCCATCAGAGGGTGCAACTAGATAATAGGGATTTGTTCCACCATTTGGTCCCTTCTTGTGATGGGCTGGTTTACTCCTCCTCCTGGCAACCACAAGAGGTAAATGCCAGTTGAACCAGGCTGTCCTCAGAGTGCCCCTACCCACACTTTTTTCATTCCCTGTGAGAGCTTTAGTTCTTCAGGTGCAGGTAGAATTACTTCATTTTGCTTTGGTTCAGCACAGACCATAGCTGGGAATGAACCAACACAGATGGCTTAAACTTCCTGTTTCTCATTATTGTTAAGTGACTTAAGCAGACCATGGAGGAGGAGAGAGAGAGAGGAAACAAAGGTGTTCTTTTTTTCAAAAGCATAACAGGGCAGTGCTGAGGCACTACAATGTTTAGAAAAGAAAAAAACCTGAAAGTTTCCTCCCGGAAGGAGAAGGGGATCTCTCTCTCTCTTTGTTTTCTTTCTTTCTCCCTTTCCCTTTAATTAAAGAGAGGTGGGCTAAACAGGGTTGCTTGAGGTGTGGTTTCCTGATCCATAACTACCCAGCCCTTGCATGTGGACGCAAGGGTTGCATCAACTGGCATACTGAACCTCTAAGCAATCGCATTTAGCCCAATGCCACCGCCTCCTATTTGGCCATCTAACCAAGCCCTAACTTACCCCCCCCCCCAGGGCTGCTATGAGGATAAGACAGAGACGAGGAGAAGTTTACTGGAAGAAAGCTAGGATACATATGTAACGAATAATGAACACACAAACACATTTATAAAGAAACTGTGTCTTTAACTCCCAACTGATTAGTCTCTAACCAAATACAGTGGTGCCTCGCTCAGCGACGTTAATCCAGGAAAAAACGTTGCTAAGCGATTTCATTGCTAAATGGATTTTAAAAGCCCATAGAAAAGCATTAAAACGCCATTAATGCGTTCCCATGGGCTTACAAACTAACCTCAAGCGAAAATCCTCCATTGCGGCGGCCATTTTTGGTGCCCCTAAAGCGAGGCAACACAGCAGGTGGCCGTTTTGTTTACCCAGCGGCCATTTTGGAACAGCCGATCATCTGGCTGAAAATGGCTTTGCGATGATTGCGTCCCTGCGATCATCGCAAAGCGAATTTTCCCCATAGTGGGAAATCGCTAAGTGATTTCACCATAAAACGGAGCGATCGCAATGCGAGGCACCACTGTAAATTCCAGAGTTTGAAATCTTCAGATAATAGATTGCTCACATTTGTTTCTATTTATGTATACAGGCTTTAGAACAGCAGTGCACTCCACACATATTGGGAGAGACAGATGGGCATTGCATACATTCAATAAGTACACATGCACCACTTTCCAGACATGGTCCTGCCAGTGCAGCAAGTGGTAATAATGTCAACATGACAGCTTACACAATATGAATTGCACAATGAGATAAGCAAAAAAACAGGGCACATTTTGTCCCATTTCCTGTATTTATGGTTTACATAAAAATATATGAATTGAGGAGTCCAGGAGACCACTGCAAAATTTGCAAAAATTAGCCTGATGGTATTCTTGAAACCAATTATTCTAGCTAAATTATGAAGGTATCAGCCAGTTCATCTGGGCCACAATTTCTCACTGGATCTATACTATCCATAAATAGTAAAGGGGATTCCGCTCTCCCCACCTCCCCAGTTGACAAAAAGAGAATCAAGGTTACTTTGTTCCCAGAAAACTGAATTTCCTGATACTCACATTTCTGCTGCCTGACTCTCATCTTCTGCTTGAATGGCCACTGGGACGGAAAAACAGCATTGTCAATATTAATCTGTAATATGGCATAGGCTTCTTTGCTTTTACTTGTCCCATGATACGCATTGCACTGGTTCTCCAACCTAAGTAACAATAGGAGGGTGTATGGCTTGGTCTGCTGGGTAGCAGCCATCACAAAATGCCTCCCCCCCTTTGAGGGCAATATCTCACATGCAGCTTATAGTGCTCATTCATGTGATACCTTGGCATCAAAAGGGATACAAAATCCAACTTTACTGTGTAGAAGGATCCTAAGTTACTACATTTAGAAAAAGGCATGTTTGCCAATTATAAAAGGGGTGCATTACTTAGAAAGTCTTTATAGGATATATCTGAGCATTCATTACAAATATCTACTCAGAAAATAAAACATAAAAATTATACTTTTGTGTGAGCAACTGGTTTCTGCCTTGAGGAATTTGTGAGAAAGAGTCTGAAAAATGTATTGTTTACTTTAAAGCAAGCTTCAAAGTCTAGAATTAACCTACTCTGAATTCTAATGCCAACCTTTTAATTTTTAATTCTTCGCAAAAACCTATGCCCTGCAGAACAAGAAGAGGCAAAGAAATACACAAAGCTGCCAAGGAAGACTTCTTATTAATGAACACTTTGAAGCAGTGGAATAAAAGACAAAATAAAAGCCAATTACAAAGCCACACTCCACAACATCCATGTTAAAATTTAACACTCTACTTAGCAAATATGTAACAATATACAGTATTTGTTAGTCTCAAAGATGTCCAAAGACAGCTGTAGCAGAAAGAACAGTGAGGAGAAATGTGTGTTGCTTCACCAGATGCTGGTCGATGGCAATTCCTATCATCCCGCACCATTGGCAAGGGCTAATGTGAGGTGTAGTCAACAGAATCTGGAAGGCCACACATTCTTTAGCCCAGACAGGGGGCAGTACATTTGGAAAGGAACCACAGGGGTGGGAGGGCCCAAATCAGCCACAAAGGGCTATTAGGTGACCTTGAATAAAGGTCGCTTTTTCCGCCTAACCGTCTTGACAGGGTTTCAGTAAGAAGGGAGTGATACAGAGGGAGAGGGAAAGGGAGGAGAGAGGGAAGCGAGAAGGCGACATGGGCTCCCAACCACCACCCAGCTGGTTGGGGCACCTCCTCTCCCACTCGCTCTGGCCACCAGCGGCCTAATTCTAGAAACGGAGGTAACGTCAAAGAGGAGGGTTGACTGGAGGAACGAAAGCAAAGGGAGGAGAGTTTTAATTCCGAAGGAGACACGTTTTGATAAGAAAAGCAGCGAAGGAGCCATAACTCGGTCCCTTTGATCCGGAGGGGCACCCACCCCCTGCCGGAAGGGAAAAGCCGGACTAAACGTCC